ATATGAGATATAATTTCTCTCCTACTTTATTGGCAGTGATAAAAAAAGAAACATCATAAATTGACCAAACATGGTAACAAAAAGGTCAGGTGAAAGGGTCTTCCCATGCAGTAATGGTGGGGCTTCACATTGGTAGACCTTTCCAGAAGGAAAATGCAAAATATATGGCCAGGTTGACCCACTGAGTCTTCTAGAAATTTATTCTGAGGAGATAATCTAGACAAGTGCTCTAAGATTCACATGAAAAAATGCTATTAATAGCATTATTGATAATATCAAATATTTAGAAATAACTGAAAAGCTACAAAATATTATTTAAATAGATCACATTACAACTGGACAAGAGCCTTGTTAGTTACTTAAAAGGACAGCACGATCAATAAACCCTGAAGTGTAACTTTGTCCAGGTTATTCAGTGATAAAAAGGCTTTCCATCTCTAAGTCTTCCAAGTGCAGTGTCTGTGCACGAGCCCCACTCAGTGAGATGCCAAGAGTGAAGTTCACCAAATCGTTGGTACACAGTGGCCCTTTCTGGGTGGTAAGATGTCAGGTGTTTTATTTCCCCTCACTTTTTGTTGTGTTTATCTGTATTATTTGAATTTTTGCAATCAATATATAATTTCTTTATAAACAGAAAAACAACTATTTTTAGAGATCACACACAAAAAGAAAACATCTAGAGAGTACATCAATTTCATGGAGAAAAGGCAGGGCTAGAACTAGAATAAAGGTGGAATTTCAGAACGGAAGTGTGGAGGGAGTTTGAAACCTGCTTGCTGGCCTTGCACAAAAAGGTTAGTCCTTCCCAGTCCTAGAGAGGACAGGAAGGTCCGGAGGAAGGACCTCGTGCTCCAGGGTTATTCCTTGGGTTCAAATATCAGCTCTACCACTTACCAGGTGAGCAGCTTAGGGCAAATATCTCAACCTTCTGTGCCTTAGTTTCCTCAGTTAAAAAATTACCTGCCTAGAAGTGTGTCACAATGATTAAAGAAGAGAGTAAACAAAAGCCACCTATCACAGTGCTTGCCAAATGCCCAGTGTTCATTAAACATTAGCGCTTGTGAAAACCAGTCCCAAGGCTGGTAGGATGTGAGTTAATGTTCCCAGCATGAAGTCCTAATGAGCAGTTAGGAAGAAAGTAAAGAATAATGAATCAAGAAAGCCCAAGGAAGAGGACACACACATATCTAAGCTCTGTAGTACAAGGGTCAAGGGTGTGACCTGCATGGTCTCAGAAATGTCAGCATCTCACAAATCTCAACTGCTTCCTCTGTAAAATAGGAATCACATATAGAAAGAGAACTGAATGCTACGTGCTAACACAGCACTTGGTAATAGTGACTTTTCAATACATATTTGCCACTGTGAATGTAAATAATTATTATTGACTATGGGATCAGGTAGTGAGCTCCCTATCACTATGGGTATCCAAGTAGGCTTAATTATTTGCAGAGGAGGATACAGAAAGGACTCAACATGGAAGGAGGGAAGGGATTAGTGTATTCTTTCAGGCCTAAAAATCTTCTTCAAAGTCATTGAAACCCAGAACTGATTTTAAAAATGGGGTAGTTTGGCTTTGTTGTTGTGCAGAGTGATCGGAGAGCCCTGCCCAGCAGGGTCATTTCTGCACAGAGTTACATCATGACGCAGCTCTCAGGGGCCAAACAGATGAGACAGGTAGTTTCCCCCATACTCTGCTCATCTGCTGACCCAACAGTGGCTCTACCTGCCCTGGAAAGCTGCAGGTGGTGGTTGACCCACCATCTGGGCTTACGGAACCTCTGAGCTTTGCTGAAAGCTATAGTTCCTCTCTTTAGAAATGCACACCTGTATACCCTGACACTGTCTGGCAGTCACCACAAGGAACGTAATAGTAATAACAGCAATAACAGGAAACACACTGATTGCTTTCTGTGTGCCGGGCTCCAAGCTGAGTGCCTTGCATTCTCCTCATCAGACCCCTTAAGTGTTACCCCCATTTTACAGATAGAAGAAAAACAACACAAAGTCTTTCAGCCACTAAGAGGCAGGGCTTGAACTCAGTCCCAAGGCACAATCAGAATGTGGAGAGCAGTTAGTTACAGAAGATGATGACAATTTGACAGCTCATTCGCATTTCAGATGAATCCTGGGCTCTGTCAGGACCCTCTGCACACTGGCCCGGCCACCCTGGGTTAGCTGGACTTTCTAAAGGCAGCCGGGGACAGGAAAAGTCAGTGTTGCCATGGGCATCATCTAGCAAGCCTGGGAGAGCAGAAGACTGCGGACAAAGCACAGCCACTCCCACCCGGGGATACCCCAGCCAGCAGGATGGAAAATGTCATTAACAGTCATTTAGCAGTTCCTCTTTGGGAGCTCAGGTTTTGATAAGCCTGGGTTCCGCAGAAAGAATATTTTCTCAGAGATATCCAAATACTTCTGGACTATTTGATAGCTCTTGTTTTCTTTTATAGTCTCTTGGTCAATCCAGACAGGTTTGGAACTTGCCTCATCCCAAGGCCATAGGGATCCCTTTGACTTGAAAACAAACCCTCTGGCTTCCTCTGCCACGGCAAGTCCAGGGGATTTTTCCTACATCTCTCCAGACTGCTGGGATCTTGAAATCCTGTTCTCAAATCACTTATATCATCTGTCCCCATACCAGGCAGATACCAAAAAGACAGAGTCATAACCTCACAGTTAAGAAAAAGGACTTTTGGCCGAACATAGTGGTTGGTGCCTATCATCACAGCACTCTGTGAAGTTGAGGTGGAAGGATCTCCTGAGGACAGGAGTTCTAGACCACCCTGAGCAAGAGTGAAACCCTGTCTCTACTAAAAATAGGAAAAATTAGCCGAGCGTGGTGGGCACCTATAGTCTTGGGAGAAATACATTTTGAGCCCAGAAGTTTGAGGTTTCAGTGAACTGTGATGATGTCGCTTAACTCCAACCCAGGTGACAGAGTGAGACTCTGTCTCAAAATAAAAAGAGCTCAGACTTTGGAATGGCAGACACCTGAGTTCAAATTCCAGCTCCTCTACTGAGTACTTCATCCTTCTACGCTTCAGTTTCCTCAATACCACCTCATGAATTTGTCGTAGGGTTAAATGAAATAAGCAATATTGGCAGTGGGATGTCTTTAGGCAAGTTATTTAACCTTTCTGAGCCTCAACTTCCTCAGCTATAAAATGGCAACGATTATAGTTTCCACATCTACAGGGTAGTTTTTGATTATAGGTTCAGTAGATAGTGGTTAGTACTCAGTAAATAGGAGTCGTTATGATTATGCATGTAAAGCTCTTGGACTGGTATAAATAAGTGTTCGATAAATAGTGGCTATTATTATTACAAAGTACAAGTTCCTCGGAGAATTTCATGCACATTTATCTCTTGGAAATCAATACAAAAATGAAGATGTTTTGGGAAACCTTGTCCTTAAGTAAATGCTGCAGTCACAGCAGAGAGAATCCATAAGCCCTGTTGCCTTAGCAGAGTACCCTAGGGTTACAGCCCCCACCCCAATCCAATGCCCAGGCTCTCTTTTGCTTCCAAAGGGCCTGCCCTTCATTCAGCCATCCACTTTTTTTACACACGCTCACTTCACACCTACAGTGAGCCAGACAGAAGGCTGGGAATGCCTAAGCGGTGAATGACATGGCTCCAGCTCCTGTCCCCCTGGAGTGTACAGGATAGTGGGGGAGATACATGTTAAATAAATACATACACAAATGACTTAAGGCCAGTTGCAATTGGTGTTGTGAAGAATGTGATGAGAATTTGTGATGGGAGCCTTGATGTGGTGCAGCTCTAGGGGTATGTATAAGCCGGAGTCATCACAAAGGCTCCCTCAGGAGCTTTTCAGCTGGGACTTGACAGATGAATAGGAGTTGGCTGGGTGGTACCTGAGATGGAAGGGAGGGAAGGATTCAGGCCGACAGGCATTTGTTCCAAGTACCCACAAACTGCTTGACTCACTAGGAGAACAGAGAGTGTAGTGTGGTTGGTTTATTCCTAGACCCTCTACTCAAAAATACTCAGCCAGGACATTGGAAATGGAATAGAAATTGAGGCCCACGGGAACTGCATTGTCACTGGCAACTGTTATCTCTTCCCTTTCAGGCACTCCTTACCTGCTGCAAAGACTGCGTTGGCTCAGACTCAACCTGCAAGGCAAGCAAATGCCCATCGTCCCAGAGGCTGCAGACATGGCTCCCTCTGCCCACATGTGAACTTCAGCCAAGACACCACAACAAGGACTCTGCCCTCTGAATCTTCTCAGATGCCTCAACCATGTCCTGGTCACACCCCACTTGGTTTGGGGAAGCTATTTAAGAAGATAAGCTTCCCTCTCTAAAGAAAAGGGAAAGAGCATGAAAGAAAACAATGGCTCCAAAGGAGGAATTTATGAGTGACATAAACGGGGATGTTCCCTTAGGGGCATCATGTATCACCAAAGAAGCAAAACCGCGGGTCATTCCTTTCTCCACCTATTTACATGCTATGGAAAGAAGATGTGTTTGAGTTTCCTGTGGTTTTACACTGGAAACTGATGCTCCAAGAAAGGAAGCTGTATGTTCTAGACATAGCAGGTTTCTTTAGGAAGTCACACATCGGGAGTCTGGCGCTGCCCCCTAAATGGTACTTTTGTTGTCTTTTCATTCAAGACAGCCAGATTCTTTCAAGATCAGAACTGCCTGCTGGCCTCCCTTGATAAATGGCCCATCAGCTCTCTTGATAGATAAAATGTGTAATAGTTAGCCTAACTTATTATTTATCTAAGTAGCAATTATGACTGAGATGACATAATATTTTAACTGCAGCATTACAGATAGCTCCTTGGCAGGATCTGGAGGCTGGGAATGGCCAAGAGGGCATCCTGTACTCAAAGGAGAGAGAGGACCACTCCATCCTAGCTGGCAGTTCTGCGTGTCAGAGATGCCATTATTAGATGCTGCTCCAAAGACCTAAGGGAGATGTGCCCAAGAGAAGCATATGGTCCCAATCCTTTCCACTGAGGCTCAATGGCCCAGCAAAATATGAAAGTGAGACCCGTGCTCCTCAAGCGTAATAGTCTAGATTCAGTGGAGTTCGTGAAACAGACTCACCACCGCAGGAGCAAATCCCAGCAAGTGAGATTCAAAGAAGATGGGACCACAAAGAATCCAACTGGCCTGACAGAGGTTGATGTCCACACCCCTGAAGACCCAGTGGTCATGGGGAAAACTCCAGTGTCCCGGCACCATCATCCCCCCACCTACTCGCTCTCCTTCCCCAGGTCCCAGAAGGCAGGGGGCTTTCGGAACATTGCAATCCAAACTTCCCCCAGTCTCAGGAAGCATTTTCCAGTTTTCAAAAGGAAGAAACTCACGGCCAGCAAGTCACTGGTGGAAATGCCGATAGCATCCCCAAGTGCCATCCAGGTCAATGGCAACCTCTCTGAACAGGACATCCTCTCCTCCAACCTTGCCTACTTGAGGTTGGCTCAGCATCTTGAGGATGGGCCTCAAAGGCTCAAGGTGGCCCACTCGTTTCTCCCCGGGGTGTCCAAGGTGCAGAGCAATGGGCCTGTTAGCATATGCTTGGAAGCAGGAACCTGGAAGTCTTCTGAGAAAGCAACAGCTGCCATTCAGGTCCCAGATGACATTTATCACAGTCCTTCCTGGGACTCCAGAGAGCCCGCTTCCAGTCCAGACAGGTCGGCTGAAAGAAGCAAGTCTATACACCATTTGGTTGACACATGTCCTGGTGATGGGAGAATGGTGACTCCACCAGATTCAGAAAGATCCCCCTCCTGCTCAAATGCTACCAGCGGTGCCAACCACATGCCAGGCACAGAGAAACTTAAATCTGAATTGCTTTTGCCCAAAGACAACCCTGATGACAAAGGCCTTTGTCCACTGTCATCTCAGTCAAAGGAAACATCCATGCCCTCACCTCCACGGACTCACAGCTGCCCCTCACCAGGCTCCCACACCCAGCCAGCCCACCCAGCAAAAGCCCCAGACTGTCCTTTATCAGACAATCACCAGAATCTGGTGTCCCTCAAAACTAAAAGTGCATCAAAATCTGCCCCTGTGTGTCAAGAGCAGATGGCAAAGGACCCCACCCAGTCAGATGCCCCGGAGTTGCCAAATTGTCCAGGAAGCAGTCCCCTCCCGTCCTCCCTTCCAAGCAACGAGACCAAACTTCAGAGCAACAGGGAGATTAGTGGCATTAATCAGATTCACCTGGCTCGGGGCGAACTCTGCGACCTCCAAGGCCGGCTGCAATCCGTGGAGGAATCTCTGCACTCGAACCAAGAGAAAATTAAAGTCCTATTGAATGTAATTCAAGACTTGGAGAAAGCTCGAGCTCTCACTGAAGGGTAAGGGGAATTTGGTTTTCATATTAAAAGCTACTGGGTGCAGTCGTTTGCCAACACAGGGGCAGAGTAGGAGAGCATTAGTTTTTTTTGGTAAAATGTCTCCAAAATGTCTGAGGTCCTGTTGTTTCCCCCAAATCACAACCAATAGTCCCCCTTTCCTCTGACTGGGTTTCATTTAGCTCTAGGCTTTGGGGGATTTGTGGGGATTTCCACTGCTATTTGTTTTTGTTTCCAGGTGTTACCAAGCCAGAGAAAGGCAGCGGTGAAGCAGCGGGGCCAAAAATGATGTTTATAAAAATGAGGCCACAGTTAGCAAATGATGGGGGAAACAGAGAGTGGGAAGGCACTTGCCCCAGCCCATCCTCTTAGCAAGTCCCCGCATTGGTACGGTATTTTAGGTCTTTGTGTGTTTGTCACAAAGGACATGAAGGGGCCATTAATGTTACCAGTGACCTGCCCCTGTGCAGACCACGATGATGACATGGGATGACCCATCATTGAGCAACCAAGTAGGAACTGAAATGAGGTCACAATTCTCCAAAGAAAGCAAAAGTCACAAAATATACTTTCCTAGGTGACTACATCAGTCTAGGGAGGGGTAAAGCAGTTATTTGTTTAGGTGTGGAAGGCTTGTCCCTCCAGAAGAAGCGATGGTTAAAGGTTGGGGAAAGAAGCAATTAACTGGCTCTTGCTCTTATAAATCAGAATGGATGCTGCCACATCAGAGAGAAATATTACAATGACACAGAGGCAAATGTCGGGAGTTTTTAATAAGCTCCCTTCGACTCACCTGCAAAATTCCTTTCCTTGAGGAAGTGATGTCAGCATGAAAAACTTTCAGAGGGAAGTGCTTAAGCATGTACAAAACCCTCTAGAAACACGAGCTCCTACAGTCAGGACTGTCTTCTGTCTTTATTTGTAATGGTCCCCCAGTTTCAGAGCATCACGAATGCTATGATGCAGGGACTGAGAGACTAGTGGCCCATGTGGCTTTTGCCTATAGATTCATCCAGCAACTGCTCTCTGTCTTGCAGGCGCAACTTTTATCGAACCGGCCAAGACCTCAACAACTGCAGTACCTGCCAGAACACGGCGTGCATCATATACAGGTACCCGGCCACAGGCCACGAAGCCCTGTGGAACACTCTAGAAAATGCTCTTAAATGCAGAAAGCCAAGACATAGGCAAAGACAGGAGGTTTTTGAATACTGATTCTTAAATACCAAGGTGTTCTGCTGTGGAACGTTAACATCTGATTTCGAGTCGGGATTGCTTGTTTTCCTCACATCCTTTCCTTGTCCTCACCCCTTATCAATCCTTTCCTTGTCCTCACCCCTTATCAATCCTTTCCTTGTCCTCACCCCTTATCAAACACTGAGCACAGCCACCACGGTGGGCTCAGCGTGCATCCTGGCATCTCATCTCACAGCGAGACCTGTGAGGTTGCTGTCATGGTCCTCTGGGAAGGTAAACCATTTGGCCTGGCTCATGTAGAGCCTTTTCTGAGAGCAGAAAGAGCCAGGCTCGAGTCTGCCATCCAGATTTTCTTAATTCCAAACCTTTGATCTTCATAGTAGCTACCCCGTGCCATGCACTCGCTGCAGGTCAAGAACTGTGCCAAACACTTTGTGTTCATTTCCAAGTATAGTATTTCATTCCAGCACAGGGGACGGGGTTGCAATAAAGCAGATTTTTATAAGTGATAAACAGACAGAACTATCATGTAGTGGTAAGACCACTGAGCCTTGAGTCAGAAGGCCCGTGTCAGATGTCAACTAATTTGACCTGGACTCAGTTTCCTTATCTGTAGGGTGGGAACACTTATCCCTATTCAGAGGTGCCATGAGGATAACATGAGACAACACACGTCTAGGCGAATACCTTTCGTGACTGCGAATCTCTGTACAAATCCAAGGGTTTATTACTGTCATTACGGAAAGATCAATGCCCCCTTAGCTGGAAGCCCACTTTCGATGGCACGGTAGAGAAGTGGTCAAAAGCAGTCATTTCAGTTGATGACACTAATTTTGCTTGACAAAAGTGAACAGTGCTGCTTTTTCCATTACTTTTCTCTCTCTCTCCCAGTGAGAACAGCAGCTCAGGGCCTGAGCAGACAGAAGCCAAATTGGGTTGCCTGTGAGTTCTTTTTAAAAAAAAAAAACTCTCGTTCTCTCCGGCAGAATCCTAAGATTTCATTTCAGTAAGAGAACATGGGCCTAGAAGTCAGGAGCTGCTTACTCTTAGGCAAAGCCTTGGGCATTTGCTCATTAAAACTGTCCACTTCTTATACCAAGGAGTCGTATAGGACTGTGTGTTTTCACCAAATAACAGACGATTTAGGGCTGTTCACAGAAAATGCCTCTCTCCTCAACTTAAGGTTGCCTTTCACAAAAGCCTTGTAGCACTGTAGGGCTAAGTAGGCAGTTTATCCTTTGCTACCGTTTCGTCTTCTTTTTCTACATTTCCTATTTTAAGTAAATTTTCTAATCACTAGGAGGACAAAACTTATTAAATGTCTAGACAGCCAAGGAGGAGGAAAGACTATTCATCACAAACTGGAAGAATTCACTTGAACGAGCCCCCATTCCAATTTTGAGTAGTCTCTCTTCTCTTCAGCAGCCAAACGATGTCTTTCCTATTACCTTAAATGATTTTTTTATTTGACTCATGTAAGTAGAAAGGGCAAGTGGTTATTTCCCCGTCTGCTATGAGTTTCATGACCTGGCCTTGGGCACATCATTTCTAGCCTTTAAGTTTCCTCTTTTGAAAAATGAAGGCCTTTAATTAGAGGGTCCCAATGGTCCCTTTTAGCTCTGACAGTCTGATATTCTAAGCCGAATTCAAAGTGACAATATTTGGCTAAACTATGACCTTCCAACAAGTCTGAGAATGTTTGTATTTTTCTAGCACTTACTGCAAACATCCCAAGCAAACATTCGAAATTAAGTTACACCCTTGGATGGATTAGCCAACCTTCGTGCACACCTCCCTTTCCAGAAGAACAGCAATTGTACGCCTATATCCCTCATTACCATTCAAAGCCAGACTCTTCTCCCAGACAGCATCTATATCCTTGTATCTAAGCCACTGCGAAGGAATGGGCAATTAATTTGATGAAAGCTGAGAGATCAGAACATCCCCGTCGTAGTAACAGTGGGAAGATGAGAGTTGTCATTTTTTTTTTTTTTAACATTTCAAATGACTTCAAACTTGTGTTGTGTCCTGGAAAGTCAGATCTTAGAAACCAATGAATAAGTGATGTGAAATACTCATCCCCAGGCCTTGTCAAGCTGCGGTCCCTTTCCCTGCTGACAGATGGGCTCAGTGCAGTCATGGTACATCAAACACGTGGGCGATGATGGGCTGCCCAGGGGGTCTTCTCTGGAGATACTGCTGCTAAGATAGCATCACATAAGGTTTCCTAAGTGGTATCCCCACAGTCTTCACCAGCCCAGGGCTATGGCTATGCTACTTGCTCCTTTCAGAACATTTGGGGTTACCACGTTCTACCCACCTCATTCTCTCTGCTACTCAAGGTTCACTGGCTCTCCTCTTAGCATCGATCACTTGGATAGTTCCTGGCTAACCAAAGAGCACCAACACCAATACCTAAACATCCTATGCAATGCTCAAGAACTTTCAGAAGATTACACACCCCAAGGAGAATGGACTCCTTTGCATTTTGACTGCTGCAGGTTCCAAGGGAAGGGGCTGGAAATTGGCTGTAAACCTCCAGCTAGTTCTACGATGATGTGATGCTTAGGCCCCCATCACTTACCTCACCTCTTCTTAGCATAATCCTAGGACGAGTTACCCAAAGAGCTGAATGAATGCCACCTATAGAACTCAACATCAAATAACATTAAATTACTTAGTGAGAACGTTCTTCGCTTTTCAAATTTATTTCAATCCCTTTGATTACCTAGAGGGGAAAATAGAGTTTGGTACTAAAATGTCTTTAAAACCTTTCTAATTTTTGCTCATCATATTTCTCTGCAAAGACAGAGCAGGTCTCAGGTTAACAGCCCTGGGCAAGTACCAGCATCTGGCCAGAATGTAATCATTTTCAATTTTTTTTGTTATTGAAGGTTTTAACTTTTAAAACTAATCCTCTTAACTACCTATTGTAATTGACGCAGTGCTCCATTTTCAAAAGAGATATTACTAGTTTTGTATTTTAAAAGTTGTTAAAGTTAACAAATGAATTGATTTAAAGAAAAAAATATATTAGATAAATAACTGGGCAGATGGTGTAGGGAATCTCACAAAACCCATGGAAGTGGTGGACTGGAGTTTGGGAAATGTTGCCCAAAGGAATTGGCTCCTTTTCCTCTTCTCCCCACTTCCCTCTCCCTCCCTGCCCTTTCTCTGCTTTTCCAGCCCCACTGGACTTCCAGCCTCCCTGCACTTCATCTTCCAGCCCCACTGGACTTTCCAGCCTCCCTGCACTTCATCTTCACATTCACTCTAAAAATAGTCAGCAGAGCCTCTTTAGCAGACTTTGACCACAAAGATTAGGCAATTCTTTTCTGGATATAATGCCCAGGAAAAACCTGCTTGGTTTAAGTTGTAAAATGAATCTAATACATCATAAGGGGAACGCATAGGAGGTCTTTCACAGAAAAAAATTCAACCACCAGCCAAACATGTTGCTAAAGAATTACAAATGAAGTGTAAACTGCAAACTTAAAATTTTTAGTGGGCAGAAAGAGAGCCTGGGCATGTAAATTTGTAAGGTGCTAAAGAGGAGAGAGAGACAGAAGAGCTATTGTTCGTTCATCCAGATTCTACCTGAACAGGCTGCTCTTTTCTCATCCTTAGTCTCTTCCCATCAGCTTCAACTGGATTTTCTATGCCGCCCCTACCTTCTTCCTGAGATAGGGGTGTGTGTGTACAAAATTGTCACCTAACTACAGAGATTTCTACTTAATACTCCAAGGCATCTTAAACTGGCCACATCCCAAAACATATCCATTTGCCCCCATAACAGTAATTCTCCCCCCACATTTTTTATTTTGTTCGACACCATTGACCATGACATGACTCCACTGACCTTGACGCGACTCTGCAGAGAAACCACCGTCCACCTTGACTCACTCTCTTCCTTCATAACACTCACCAAATTGGCTACTGATTCTAACTGCTAAACCCAG